AGACTTTGGGTTCTTACATTGAGAGAATATGCTCTTTTGCCTCGAGCCTTCTTTAACTTCCAAGGGAAAAAGGCACGTTTAGCATTCCAGTACTAAAGAGGCTAGAGAAGAAATAGGGACTGAAGAACTTACCGAAATCGAGGAGTAGACACCCTCAAGCTGTTTGGCGATATTATTACATGCATCAGATAAACTCCGCCTTGTTCCAAACATGAAATCTGCAAGTTTCCATCCCTGAAAACGTTCCAGAAGACAGAATCAGATTGAGAGGATCAGCAATCAAGAAGCCATTGAAAAGAAATTCAATTTCCGTAACTCTTGGTTGGTGACAAGCATTCCAAGTGAACTTTAGATAGTGTGACGAGATTACCTTCCACCACACATATCCATAGCCTACCACTGCAATTACAATGACTACACCATAATTTCTACCACCTGCAGAGGACAAGTGTCAAGATTCTCTTGAGCTTAACATTAAAAAATGATGTATAAAAGCATGGAAAGAAAAGGCCATGGACGTGAAAACATTGCTGTGTTGTTTAGGACAAAAAAAAAAATAGAACCTGAAGGCACATGTCACTAAGAAGAGAAAAACTCAAAAGAGGCATCAAAACTAACCAGGAAAACAAAAGTAAATATTTAAGATTGAACGACTAAGGTTCCATTACATTGCTTCATATCAATAATGGGTGCTCTGTTATTTGACACCAATAGACAGTAATAGGTACATTCAGCACATAAGTTGCGCAGGTAAAGAGAGCAGCAGAAGAAAATAATTCCCCCAGGCTACAACATAAAAGCAGAAATTGAAGAGACCTGATCCACCCGTAGAAACAATGGTGATAGATCTGTTTGACGCCAACAATTGCAATTCCTGCCTTAGACTGTTCACCTGTAAATGAGAATATCTCATGGCCATAAGAAAGCAGTATAGTTGTAATAATCAAAACAGTGATTCAGTATTGAGAAAGATATAACCTCAAGTCATTCAATGAGTCGTAAAACTATCTTACAAGCTATACCAATTACCGAATAGCACATGACACCAACGATGAGACTAATGTTCAAACTAACCTGCGCCAAAAGGGTATCACTGTGAGGCTTCTTTGCCGGTTTGGCTGGTTCGTCTTGTTTTAGTTGCCTTAACACAATCTGTCAAGAGCAGAAAACCATTATGACACTTTGCCAAAACAGCATTATGCACTCTAATCTTCAGAATATACATGAAATGGAATAAATCAAAGAACCAGAAAGAAGCGAGAACCACTAGAACAAAGTGACTGTAATATATTTACACCCATCAACAATGAAAATCTCAACATTCTGTCTAAGTTCACAACCAGTTCATGCTTCACACTAAATCACGGGTATCCAACTCGGTCATTTCTGTGGAGTACCTTGAATGCACCCGAGATGAAACTTGAAACATCCAGCAAACCTTCTTTTGCAATAACTGAGCCGACAAGACCTGACCGAACATAAGAACAACATACTTTTGGTGAATTAAAATGAACAATAAGCATACATACACAAACACATCCGTGCAGAAATTTGACATATCAAAACAAACTGCTGATTGAAGCAATGCCATAAGCTAAGGGTAGATAATCATCATAACCAGATACTGAAATCAGAAAACAACACCTTAACCAAGATTCTTCAATTGCAAGTACTGTACGAATCATCCATAGTATATAAAGAACATGCACAAAACTACAAAAGGAACCATTTATGCAATTAGAACCACCTTTACGATAAATTCGATACCCAAATCCTTTGGAGCTGAGATAAAAGCAGCGTCCATAATCTAGTCTGAATCAAATACGCATACGCTATGGGATAAAATATTGACATAGCCATCAGATTGAAACATCAAACACCTCGAAAGTCCGCTGATGAACAGTCAATTATAAGAGAAGAGAACCAAAAGGACACTGATTTTTCCACATAAATCGATGGTTTATCGAAAACCCTAGTTCCTCCCCCACTTATCATCACGACGCT